TTTACTTGAATAAAAGTGTAAAATAGTGGTGCTTGTGATGTAAACAAACGCTCAGCTGACGAACCCGCTTTCGCAAACTTTTTTCTCAAAACCAGTTACAAATACAACGTCGCGTTCTTACGTGATCTTGTATTTTTGGTTCATGAGACAATGCTGTGACGACAATAAAGAAATTCCTATTATACCATGTTCTGACCGACATCGCGAAACTTTCTTTCGTGTTTTCGTGATAAAGCTGGTGTTCGACCTAAAACTTGTGTTTTCGTCCATGTAAAATCTGTCGGTGTCTGCATTAGTTTTTTTGATTATTCATCGAAGTATATCATCTTTAATACGCCATTTCGAATTTATTTTTAATTGGCTGCGCAAAGTAAAATAAGAATGAAAGTAAAAGGTTGTTAATGAAAAGAAATTGCAGGGGAAGTATTTTGGTTTGGTTTTTGTGTAGGAAAACTGTAATCAAAGGATGTAAGAAATGCCAACGAAAACACTAAAAATCGGTGTGAACAGCCTTCAGCCCACAATCCCAAAACTCGTTTTCAAAGTGTTTTCGTTGTCGGTCAGAACATCAGAGTACGTATATTTATACAGTTTTGAAGAGTATTTAAAAACAAAAGTAAGCACAAACGCTTTTGACCACGAAGCCGAGAAAATAATTCGAGAAAATGGTAGCTATTTTATTATCACTTTAATAAAGGAATTACGCCAACGCCTCCCCACAAATATTGCCACACTAAAAAAATTGACTTTTTTCGGTTGGAAATGCATTAAGAGTAATTAAACCAAAAGTATTTGTTCAACTACAGCAACAAAAACACAAATATAATGCCGACGAAATAACATCCATAGAGATGCAATGGCAACGGTTAACGTTACATACCTGGAGTAATTTAGACTCAACTGTAAAATTTTGGGCCGAAGTTTATCAATTTCGAAATGCCCTAGGAGAAAACCCTTTTGCTGACCTTTCCAACCTAGTTTTTAGTTTTCTTGTTTTGCCTATAAGTAATGCAGAAGTAGAGCGAATATTTAGTTCAATGAATATAATAAAAACTAAGCAAAGAAATCCAATGTGCGTTAAAACGTTAAACGCTATTTTATATATAAGATACGGTTTAAAACGTGAAGAAAAATGCTGCCATAATTTTACTGTAGATGACGATCTCTTAAAATTAATGAATTCAGGTGATATATACAATAGTGATTCATTTGATGATGAGGAATATACACTCGATATAAATTAATCGTGTTAACTAGTCTTTCGTTTCTTGCGATTTATTTAAATAAAGCATGTGAATTTTCACTAAAACATTTTAGCCGTTGTTTGCCAGAGTCTATGTGAAATTTCACTAAAACATTTTAGCCGTTTTTATCCGCTTTTTTTTGCCAATCTAGCCGGTCGGCCCAAAAGTTCTGGCAACACTGTTTGTAATACAAAAATCCTAATGGGCCTGAGCACACTAGCCTGCTCAGTCGGACTGAGCAGTCCACCACTCGAACGCACACTGGACTGGGCCGTCGGCCGAAAACAGGTTTCAGTTTTGTATACATGAACTACGCATGTGGCACATGCAAATAAAACGAAATAGAAAACATGTTGTCTATGTGTGCGTGTCAGTCCACCGTCAATCCGCGATTTTCGCGGACTGAAAGGAGCGAGGTAAACTCGAACTCTCTTCCCCCTCTTATCCACAAAAAACCGGGTTTAGGCGGGCTGGGCAATCCAGTGTGCGGATGCCCAATATTTATACTAATGAGGTCCTAATGTCGGTTGGGTGTTTTCTAAGCAATAATCGGGATCCGGATAAAAAATTTGAACACAAATGCAACAACAACGATATGATCCTGATAGAAATCTGGTTCAATTTATGATCCGCTATGTTTGCTGCATGGTTTGGTAGTACTGACCAGAGCTGGGTAATTTTTGATTACAATTACATTAAAGTTACGATTGCTTAATTGTAAGCCTTAAATTATATACGATTACGATTATTTCAATTGTAATCATAAATTCTGGCTCTCTCTCTCTCTATCAACAGTAAATTTACGTTTACGCTACGTCGTTGACTAACTGCGTTTTAATCTTTAAAATTTTAAGATTACAATTACAATAATTGTAATCATGAAAATTATGATAACGAATACTTTAATATTAATCGTAAAAATATAATGATTACAAATAATGTAATCGTAATCAAGAAGATGTTGATAGCGATTTTCTAATTTTCTTTAGAGGTTTAGTAGTTAAGTAAATGAGCGGAACTTTCACCGAAAAGTATGTAAAATTTATTTAAATTTGAAGTAATACAGTTAATAAATACAGTGAAGTAAAACAGTTAAAAAATAGAAAACAAAAACGTTTATTTTCTAATAGCGGTCGCCCCTCGGCAGGCAACAGCAAACCATAGAGTGTATTTCAGTCATGAAAAACAGCTTCTCCAAAAAATACAATAGCCTTTCGGGGCGATGTAAAATTGTAGGTCCCTCCCCTTTGTGTGACAACATCAAGGCGGACAGTTAATCAAAGTCAATCCTTATTGGAAAAACTGCGACCACGAGTCTGTGTTGATTGTTACATCAATTTCAAAAAAATATGCGAATTCATAACTTAAAACCATTTTGGTAAATAAAAATCAAATTTGCTCAAAGCAAAACTAATTTCTCGATTACTGTAATCGTAATCATGAACTGCTTGATTGCGATAACCTTAAATTTTTAATTCGATGCATCGGAATGTACATCGATATTTTTCGATGCATCGAAGGGCATACATCGATGCATCGAATTGCAAAGATTTTTCAGATAATGTTTCCCAACAAAATGTGTTATACGATGTTTCCACGCTTCGTAATTCGCTATCTAAGTAATTCGCGAATTACACTGTTTCCACGCCACACATTAGTAATTCGTTTGGCAGCTCTAGTTCTTGTTCTTGTTCTGCGCTGTTTATTATTATTTTTGTGTACTTCAAATATCGAAGATGGAGCTAAAATTTAAGTTATCATCAACAATTTTAATTTATATAGAGAATATTTTATTAATATTATTCTATAACTAGAAAAAGTGCCAGCAATTGGGACCAGGCCGGTGAAAACTTTGATATATTTCCGATAAATATTAGAGAAGGCACCGATTCGTTTGTCATTCGCATGGTTATTCGGTCAGAGTTTTTTATAAATGAGGTAATTCGCTCTCAAAATTTTGTATGGCGAATTACGTAATTCAGAAGGTAATTGGCAAGGCGAATGACGAATGGCAGAGCGAATTACGAATAAGAGGGCGAATTACGAATCGTGGTAATGCCGTATTATTAACAAAATTGTACAAAATTTAAATACATTACTGCAACTGAGCTACGTATGTTTCCAACGGAAGTTTTTGGAGCCGTTTCAACTTTTTGGTCAGTCACTTCTCTTTTTTGTACAATTGAAAACCTGGAACGACGGTTCAATGTACTAGAGAATTCAGTTTTCAAAAAACATCGATGCATCGATATGTCGACTATTTATACATCGAGTAGAAAATTTTCGATGCATCGAAGCAAATCATCGATGTTTTCCGAGATACCTACAAAAACTTTATTTAAATAATCTGTAAATTGTGGCAGCACCAACGACTTGGAATCGTTTGGCGTTCTTCTTTTTTTGTAGCAATTCACAGTAGTTTGGGGCCGCGTACANACCACAAATACTACTAAGTTGTATAAGACTATTTAATGCAACTCGGGTCAAAAAAGAGCAGTTTAGACCAAAATAAGCAGCTCTAAAAAACAGATGATCGCAGCTGTAGCCCAGGATGACGTCTATTGCTAAGATATCTCACTTGTATTTGTACACAATGGCGTACATTGCCTTTTGTTCTTGCGTTCTTATTGATTTTGAAAACAAAATTTGCTTATTTCATAGATAAAATGGATAAAGTTCAACAAAATGATAACACAAATCGTGATGAATTAATAATGCAGCAACAACGCGAAATTGAAAAGGAGGTACGTTTACCATAGGCATTTTAATTAAGGAACAAAATGTTTTGCTAGTATCAGTCCTAATGGGCCACCCGTAGTACCCTCCAACATACAAATCAACTAATTAACAATTTCTTTTGCAGATAAGTGACTCCATACCATTGGTCAGTGAACAATTGCCAATAACTTGCCTTAATGCTGAATATCTAGGCGATGCAGTGTTCACTTCAAAAATTCAAGAACTCGCTAGCAAATATAAATTCTTACGGCGTACTAGGCCTGATGGAAATTGCTTCTTCCGGGCATTCGCTTACGCTTACCTAGAGCATTTAATTTCCAATAAAGATGAGTATCAACGATTTAAAGATTTGGCGGACAAGTCAAAAGATAAGCTGGTGCAATTAGGTTTCCCTAGCTTTACTCTGGAAGATTTTCATGATACGGTAATGATACCGACATTTTATAATTATTTAAAAGTTTATGTTGCACCTTTTGTTTTTTGACAGTTCATGGAAGTTGTCAAGCGTGTAGATCCGGCAGCCGGTTCGACAGAGTCAATGGGTGAGGAGCTACATAAAGTATTTAATGAGCAAGGTTACTCCGACTATGTGGTTGTGTATTTGAGATTATTAACCTCTGGTAAACTACAAGAGGAGGCTGACTTTTATCAGCATTTCATTGAAGGCAACTTTACCATTGAGGAATTTCGTCATCAAGAAGTAGAGCCAATGTACAAAGAATCGGACCATATACATATTATAGCATTATGCACTGCTTTAGGCGTGGGTGTACGCGTAGAATATATGGATCGTGGAGACACACATGTAAAAGCGCACGATTTCCCAGAGGGAAGTACGCCAAAAGTTTTCTTAATTTATCGGCCGGGTCATTATGATATACTTTATCCTAATTGAATTGCAAAATCATAAAACATTAAAGGATCATAGCGTTTGGCCTAGCTACCTACTAACATATCGCTCATTTTCTTCAATAGTGTCACAACTCAAAAAAGCAGCACTCAAGATAAACGGCTTTCAAGTTTGGAATTTACACATACTCCCGTAGTAAAAACGAATACATATTTTATTCTAGTAGAGAGATAGTGGTAATCGATGCAGCTATGAAACTTTTATAAAACATAGAAGAAATAGCGGTAATTTTTGCATACTTACCTCAAAATACGTAATTTTTGGATTATGACACTAAATGAGCGATATGTATGTATTTTCTAATTTACGAAAACTTGCATATATTGAGCACAGATTACGCGTGGCTGCTTTGAGTTAATATCCTATCACCCACGTACATAAATAATGAACAAGCCCTATTTAATCAATTGAATTAACATTGGTATACATTGCCTTTAGCACAGAGAGAGAGGATATATTTGAAATTCATCAACGAGCTATATTAAAATTTTAATTCTTTGAAAATGTATAGAAAGATCCTTCTCAAATAAATTGTATATGCCGAAAAAAAACGAATAAAAAACAAATGGGTCGGTTATGGATAGCAATGCAACCACAGTTGGGTTGCCGATGGACCAAGCCACTGAAAATATATGTATATTTAGAACACCAACTATAGTATACTGCTGTAAAGTTACAGATAATACAATTTCGAAATAGGAAGAAACCAGGCTTGAATTTAAAAAAGCTGCAAAATTCTCGCGTCAACCACAAATAGGCAGTTGCCAATAACAACAACAGTTGCCAATAAAGCAACTCAGTTCTTTCAATTGTTATCTCTAATACAATTTCAGACACTGGCAGCGCAACTGAAGTTCGATTGCCGTTTGTAATAAACCCAAAAATGTTCTTAAATCGACTTTAATTTATGTTCTTTTGGACTTCTTAGTGAAAGTAAGCAGCAAACTTGTTAAATAATGTTAGAAATACTGCGTACTGTAATTTAATCCAGATGCTGGTGAATAATGCTGGGGTGGGAATCCTTGGGTTACAGGTTACAACAGTTGAGGGAACGTAATAATTATTCTCAAGGGTTGGTCCTTAGTTGAGTTCGCCGGCATCGATCTAACAACGTTAAACCGATCAACCTGTGATCGACAAAAGCTTGAGCCCAGTAAACATACAATTTAGTAGCATTTTGATAAACATCTTATGTATTTCGATTAGGCGTTTTCTCTTTACGTGCAGTTAATGTGTGCTTTTAATAGAAGCTCAACAAAAAATTTTAATCCAAAGTCTAAAAATCACTTAAGTTGTTTCATCAAAATCCCGCAGGAATGTATATTCATCTTAATGAAGAAAGGTCTAACATTTGTTGTCTTTTACCGAGTAATTCTAAACCTTTATAAAATTCGAAGATTTCCCGTAGCAAATTTCTTCAAAATACTCTTTTTCAATAAACACGGAAAGTAGATTTAGTTTGATTTTAAAATCTATTAGGACATCAGTGAACTACTTTTGTACAAAGAAGAATTTCGAAAGAAAATTAGTTAATATATATATATATTCCCATTGCTTTTTTAATATTTTGTATGTAATTAAACAATCGTCGGTACTTGTGTATATATTGTGTATACATACGTATATTTTTTCTACTTCAATCTCGTTTATACATACATATGTAATTATAATGAAACAAATAACAATCTTCATTGGTTAGTTACATGCATTTCAAAAATACATAAATTTACACAAAATGTTAATGTTTACAATCCCTTATATTGTAAATGAACAAACTAGTCTGGATGTCCACAAAAATATACTACATTCTACATCCAAAATCTCAACTTCAATTCTTATTTTTCGGACACTGTTTTTATTTACGATTCAATAGAAATATGCTGCTTGTATTTTTTACAGCTTAGAATCGGTTGAAACTAGTCAATCCGCGGAGCATACGGCCATCGCTTCACCCTTTTCCTCTTCCAGTTCCTTGCCAGTAAGGGCCAACTTGGATTTGGCAAAGTCGTCCAATTGCAAACCCTGTACAATCTTCCATTTTCCATTGCTAATTTCCACAGGGAATGAGAATACCACATCCTTGGGCGCCCCGTAGCTGCCATCAGAGATGACACCCATTGAGACAAATTGACCAGATGCAGTACCATTCCACCAATCGTGCATGTGATCACAAGCAGCCTTAGCTGCGGACATGGCCGATGACATTTTACGTGCAGCAATCACTGCGGCGCCACGCTTTTGCACTGTCTCTACGAATTGACCCTGTAAAAAGGCAGCATCATTGACAGCATCCCAAACACGCTTGACAGCACCATCGACTTCAACAATCCCGTTGCTGGGATCGGGGAACTGGGTGGACGAATGATTTCCCCAGATGACGACATTCTTGACGGCATTAATTGGCACACCCAATTTGGCGGCGATCTGTGCGGTGGCACGATTTTGATCCAACCGTGTCATGGCGGTGAAATTCTCACGTGGAATTGATGGCGCATAGTGTGAGCATACGAGTGCGTTGGTATTAGCTGGATTGCCTACAACTAAGACTTTAATGTCCTTGCGAGCATGCTGATCTATAGCCTGTCCTTGTGCCTTGAAGATTTTCACGTTGGCAGAGAGTAAATCTTTGCGCTCCATGCCCTCCTTCCGTGGCATAGCGCCTACCAAAAAGGCAGCGGACACATCTTTAAATCCTACCGCTGGGTCAGCGGTTGGGATGACTTGGCGAAGTAGTGGTAGCGCGCAATCTGCCAATTCCATAACAACGCCCTCGAGTACACCCATCATTGGGGGGATATCGAGTAAATGCAAAATCAAAGGTTGATCCTTACCGAACACCTCACCACGGGCAATCATGTATAGCAACGAGTAGGCGATTTGACCAGCAGCGCCAGTAACAACAACACGAATTGGTTGTGCCTGTAAGCAAAGGAGGGTAGAAATATTACTTATAATGCATTTTGTAGGTACTTTATATGGTATATGTACATAGTATGTAAGTAAGGTACATCAATACAATAACCGAACAAGTTTTCTGCGATCAATATTAAGAACGGTAAGTAAAATTAGTTTTCTCTAATCCTATTCCGAAATCGGTGACAATAAATTCTTTTTATTAAGATTCTCTGCTTTGGAAGACTTAATGTTTTCGAACTCAAGCAAAAAGTAGGAATCGTGTATTTTTTCTTAAAGCTTAGAATCCAGCTCTCAAGAAAATTACCTCAAATATCCAGTCTAAAGTTGTGTATTACATATTGGCTCTTTTTTGTATCATGATATAATTGATGCGAATGCCTTATTTGCGTAACTAATTTCCACTAGGCATTAAATGGCAAACATTTTCATGACAAGCTTGGGCATTAAAAAATATTCTTGTCAATACCAAGGCGAATTTATAGGTGCAACTCCGTATTCCTCGGACTCGGACTAGTAAAACTGTCAAAAAATAAAAATTCGCTCAGAGCGAGAGAGTAACATTGAAAAGTACGGGATCGCTTTCTAGTAAAAAATGGTAACTTCTGTCAACTTCAACATAACCTCCAAATTTTGGTTGTAAATTTTTGCTTATTTTATGCGTAAACACAATCAGCTCACACATATAAATAACCAAAAAAAACTTTCAAATTGTTTAAAATCCACTTAAACAAGTAATTAAATACTTTTCAACATGAATTAGCAGAGTGCACTTTTCTTTTGTTTACAATTGCGTTGCCAAACACACTACAGCTGATTGTTTGGCACATTTACCAGAATTTACCAGCAAAAAATTCTCGGACTAAAACTGGTAACTTCTGACAGAGACAGAACCGTATTTACTCTCTTTTTTGTCCTCTCAATAGTCAGAGAACCGAGTACGGGATCGATTTCCAGTAAAATCTGACTGATTCTGACTAGTCCGGACTCATACGGGATCGCAACTATCAAATTGAAAAATTTTGTTTGAATTTCTACACACACTCCTACAGATTTTGACAGTTTATGCCGCCAAAGCAAAAACAAAATACATATAAATTTTTGTTTTTGTACTCCTGCTATCACCTTATATTAATTCGCCTTGGTCAATACGTTAAAAAATTTTCATTAAATTCATTTCCACATGGCATTTCTGAAATGCCTAGTGGAAGTTCGGCATAAGTTCCAATTAGGACATTTAACCGCGGTGGCGCAGGTTAGATTTTTTCATCATTTATAGTTTACAAATAATGATGCTTTGGCTGGTTGCATTTCTTAGCACAGGGGTTGTTACCTTAATTCACAAAGCTCTAACTAACAATTTTTTTATTTTACAGGAGAAGCAAAAAACGTTGTGGTTGTTCAAACTTGCCTGGTCATCTGAAAGCCAATTCCTGCCTTGTGAAAACGTGAAGTGAAAACATTTTTCATCACTTCACTTCTGTTTTCAAATGTAAATTAATTAATTTGCCAACAATTTTTCACTGTGAAAACTTTTTTCCACAAAGTTTTGCGGCTGTGAAAAAAGTAAAGTTGGGCGTCCCAGCCAGCAAGAAAACGTACATTTTACGATTATGTTTTACGAGGGATTCTCAATCGGCGAAAAGTTAGAGAAAGGCTCGTAAACCATGATTCAATTATTAAAGGTTTTGTAAGTAGCTTTTTCTAAAATTGACACTCCCACCCACAGGGATCGTTTTTGGAAGAGGAGAAAAAGGGGAAGAATTCAATCACACTTCTAAAATGGTAGCTAAATTCCACAAACAGGTATGGATAATAGTGCATGGTGGTATTTTAAAACAAATGCGAATTTGATTTAATTATTTCATTTAAACCAGCATATTTACATTGAACATAACCCTTCATTGTTATTAAAAATAAATATTTTTATATATGTATATACCAAAGTGGCGAAAGTCAGACGGCGCATAACTCAAGAATGGGTGGTCCGCTTTGAGCCATTTTATTACAACGCTTTTATCAACTTGCAATGTTGTATGTCCAGACCACCCTACTATAAATATAGCAAAGGTATTTATGGCAAACCTAGTATAGATATCAACCTCGTCGTAGGTATCAAAGACATACAATTAGAAAAACTCTAGAGATAGATGTCGCCACGCCAGATGAACTTAAAAATATGCACTACATACGCTACAGCGGCAATGGACGACACGCCATTTCTTAAAATGAAATTAATTGCTGCTATATGTATGTATGTACATATGTATGTAGGCATATACTAAATGTGAGCAAACAACATTTTGCTTGCATAGTCTTCTGTTCTCTTTTCACTGCAAGTTGAATTATTTTAGTATCTATTGCAAAATTTTATACAGACAAGACTAAAAAGTATAAAATAAATACAAAAAAAAAACTTTTTAATGTACCACGCTTTTATAAATGGACTAAAATTAGAAAATAATATTTCTCAGTCGCATAGAACTTGTTTTGATAACTTTTGATTTTGAAATTTTAGCAAGTCATTATAAACAATTTATTAGATTGAAAAGGAAAAGCGTGGGGCGCATGTAATAGGCCTGATTTAAAATTGAAGAGTAATATGTGTATGTATGTGGCTATATTAATAACGACCGCTTAAAATCGATCTCAAATTTGTACTTTCGCTGTAGAAATTTTAGGTCTATGTTATGTATGTAGTTTGAATATTGTCAATTAAATCTAATGCTTTGTATTGCATGCGCTCCTCATTTTTCGTTTTCAAACTCATAAATTGTTTATAATGACTTTTGCTAAAATTTCAAAATCAAAAGTTATCAAAGCAAATTCTATGGGACTGAGATATATTATTTTCTAATTTTAGTCCATTTATAAAAGCGTGGTACGTTAAAAAGTTTTTTTTTTTAATTTATTTTATTTTTGCATTTGTTTGCCAGTTGTTGGATAAAAAAAAGCTATTTCCCTGCAAACCATTTTTCAGAGTATTCTGCATTGTTAAGAAATTTTAAAGAATTCGTTAAGATTTAATTCGATTATTTGCCGTATTTTCTAAAATGAAATAAATTACGCACACTTCCATTCTTTTACGAAATTTCGGAAGAAAATCTGTGAGGCAACGAAAATAATGCTGCTATGTGAAGAATATCTTTCAGAATTTTTCCAGAATTTTCTTTATTTTTCGTACAGAAATTTCTTTACGAGTTCGTGTCAACCACTTCATATAATTTTCTTTGAAAATTCGGGAAAAATTCGTTACAGAAATGAGATACTCCTAACGATTTCCTTAAGATTTCGGGAACTTTGGTTTGCAGGGTTGCTTGTGGAAAAAATATGGAATTTTGATTAAAAAAAAAAAACAACAAATGAAAAAATTTGGAGCTTACGTTTCTTTCGCGGTTATTGCTCGATTGCTTCGAATATGGTAATTCCAATTCTTTGATGTTGCACTTTTATTGTTCTGGCGAGATTATGCCGCCGATTANGAAACAGGCGGGGCTTAGTAGTGCCGCTACAACAACAACAACAACAACATAACCAGGCAAGTGTGAACAACGACATTATGAAAAGAGTATCAAAGGCAGGTAGGGATTTTCAAAAAGCGGCATATAAGTCGGTAGTTTTAGGTACTTCCACTATACAATTTTTATTGAAGGTATATTTTAATCCGTCCTACCAAAATCTGTGAAAAACGCTGCTTGGATAAAGGTGTTGGTTAGGGCCTTTGTGCATTAAGATAACGATTAACGATACGTACATATCGCACACCTAGTTCTAAAGCAGACCTGGGCGGC